TTTATCAAAACCTGATGATATAGAGAGTCGCTATATATTTTATCAAAACTTGATGATATAGTGAGTCGCTATATATTTTATCAACACCTGATGATATAGAGAGTCGCTATACTGATATATTTTATCAAAACCAGATGATATAGAGAGTCGCTATATATTTTATCAAAACTTAATGATATAGAGAGTCGCTATATATTTTATCAAAACCTGATGATATAGAGAGTCGCTATATATTTTATCAAAACCTGATGATATAGAGAGTCGCTATATATTTTATCAAAACTTGATGATATAGTGAGTCGCTATATATTTTATCAACACCTGATGATATAGAGAGTCGCTATACTGATATATTTTATCAAAACCAGATGATATAGAGAGTCGCTATATATTTTATCAAAACTTAATGATATAGAGAGTCGCTATATATTTTATCAAAACCTGATGATATAGAGAGTCGCTATATATTTTATCAAAACCTGATGATATAGAGAGTCGCTATATATTTTATCAAAACTTGATGATATAGTGAGTCGCTATATATTTTATCAACACCTGATGATATAGAGAGTCGCTATACTGATATATTTTATCAAAACCAGATGATATAGAGAGTCGCTATATATTTTATCAAAACTTAATGATATAGAGAGTCGCTATACATTTTATCAAAACCTGATGATATATAAAGAGTCGCTATCAGTGGCGTAGCTAGCGATCCCGCTGTCCCGCCGGGCGGGACTAGAAATTTAAAAAAAAATGAGGAAATGTTTTATAGTGAAGCCAAATTCACAGCTTTTCTTATTCTGAAAATTTATATAATTATGATCATTTTTCAGTGCTTTCATTTATTTATTTAAAGTTTACGCAATGTTGCTGTCTGCTCTTTGACCTCTGGAACCCAAAATTAGCTAATTTCCACGCAATTGATTGTTTACTCCGCAATTCTTGAATCGTATGTCTCGTGTTCCGCTGATTTTCATATGGCGGGATATGCAATACTATTTTATACAAGAAATTCTGGTTTCTGATTGGATAATTGGCGCAGCGCATGCTCAGAACGGCTGTTTTTAATGCCGAAGTCCCGCTATTTTATAAAGCGGAGGTTGTCAACTCACTTCCATATATTAAAGAACTCCGCGAGTATTTGCAGTAGAAATACGAAAATACCACCAAAAAATTCCGCTTCAAAGATTGATTAATGTAAAATAGCCATAAATTATAAACTAGCCATACTCGAACAACCTAATGTAACCATACCTATATACAATATACTCGAACAATGTAAACAATGTATCACTATTAAGCCATACCTTTCGCCGTAATTATATAACTTCGACAGCTCGCTATATGATTTTATCAAAACCTGATGATATAAAGAGTTGCTATATGATTTTATCAAAGAGAGTCGCTATATATTTTATCAAAACGTTGCATGCATTCCACTCTCGCTATAGTAAATTACGATCTGCCAATATAAGCGTCTCTTTGTTTGATCCATCGCACGAAGCTAGCATGTAACTGATTATTTACCCACGCACTGTCACGCACTAGTTTGGACACTGCACCGTTTAAAAACGTATTCCGAAATTGATTGTTCAAACTCCTGTCCGGTTATGCCAAAAACGCCACGCTTTCCCTATTCTTGACGTTACATGACGTTCTTGCTTTTTCGTGCCCAGTCCCCGGCCGAGTTATATTGGGGAAACATACTGAATCCATGTCAGTCCGTCGGATGCCAAGATTTTTCGGAAATTGTCGTCAGCTCGAGCATTCGACAACTCTTTGTTTTTATTCGATTTTGATTCGATTTTATTTTGTATTGCGCTCCGCATGATTCTTTCGATTACAGTGACCTTTCGATTACAGTTAACTATAATCCATCTCTAGAAAATAAAGTTTTTCACAAAATCAATCGCGCCTTATATCTCGTCCTGGCAAAGTGGTTTAAGCGGGATCCGTATAAACAGCCCTTATTCAGCAAATTGCGTATGCTCCCTTGCCTTTGATCCCTTGGGGGGTGAGGCAGCATTTTCCTTGCGATAGTAACTTCTAGTTATATAATTTACTGTTGAGAGTATAATCTATACGCTTACATGCACCTGCATGCAGGCATATCCGTACGTCTAGTTATCTTCAAGCAACGGCTCTGGCATTTTTCTTGTTCAAAACAGTTGAAAACTTGATAGGAAAAACTATTTAAGTCTCACCATTCCAAGATTCCGTAGCATAACCACCGAAGATGAAGTTACCAACTTTTATTATGGTCACGGTTGGTTTCTTGTTATCACATTTTAAATGAAAGGTACTGGCTGCCCATCCATGTAGAGTTGCACGCCAACACAGCGTCCAATTACTGCTTGGCTTTCCGGTCCATGAAGTTAATCTTGTCAGAAAGTCAGCTGGTTCTCCAGACAATATGACGGAGTCAGAAAGTGTCGGAACTAAATGAGAATAAGAAATATGATGAAATTCTAACGGTCAACACATCATTATTATTTATTGTATTATTGTTTTATATAAGGCATTAAAAAATGTTGAAACGATCGCATATATGAAAAAAACATCAAGTTAAAAATTAAGTCCCAAAAAAGTTCCAAAAAAATTCATTTGCATTTAATTTTGATCGTCTTTAAAAAATCTCACTCGTGTGCATGCAGATGTTTTACCAAAGTGGTAGCTATATATGGTCTCAAATTCGTACCCTTATCTATCTATACATAGATAAAGAATCCAACAAACCTCGGCAGCAAAATAATATAATACTTAAAGAGGAGTAACACAGGCAACAAAATTGCTGCACTTGCAACAAAAGCTGAATTGAATGAATGCTAATTAATATTATGCAGTGGACAGTTTCATGTTGAAGTTGCAGCACCCGAGCGAACATGCGTAAACATTTTTAGCATGGCTTGATATGAGTTCTTGTTGCAACAACTTCTGATTCTCATTCTATTTCATCTTTATCTCGCGCAGCAATCTTTTTCTTTAACAACTCACCAATTTGGCAGAGATCTCCACTGAATCCCTTTAGACACTCACATCTGTAAGGATCAGAACCAGGTCCATCTTTGAGATAAATTATCGTCTTTCCTCCATTTTTACAATTCTTCATTTTATGACATGGAACCTGGAAAGCAAATGTGTTAGAATTCAGCCCACCGTAAACTAAGAGAAATTCAGCCTGTATGCAAATTTAATTGTTTAAGCTGAAATAACAGAATAACATCACAAGTTACAGGTAATTACTATAATAACTATATTGGTCCGGTATTTTTTAATGAGAACGAGTTTTAAATGATAATATATATCGCAGTGGATGTCGTTAAATATAGCTAACTTTTTTGATTAAAAATATTTTCGGAACTACAGAGTAAAAAGATACAATAGTGAATCAACTGTCTGTAGTATACAATTTTCTCAAAAAAGTAGGCCCATATACAATTTCCTCATATAAATATAATTGAGTCCAAATTGGACTCTAAACCATTCCAACCAGCCGGTTTTTTACACCACACAACTTTTACCTAACACTGTCGCATGCAACCTAGTGTTACAACTGTAGTTGTACTGTGTAGATCAAGCACATGCACAATGCGCCGATATATACGTCGTCTTGTTATATAGCGACGAAAGTAAAATCAGCAACATAATATATTTATACATGCAGCAATAAATTATTGCATTTCATGACAAATTAAAACTCTATAATGTAAAGGAGTTCTGAAACTAAACTAACCTACTTTACTTAAACGGTTTCAGCATGCAGCATATCCTGTTGCCTGTTGTGTATTTTTCTTCTCTTTTATACCTTCTTTATTTTAACACAAACTTGGAAAATCCCTGTTTCTAAACTTGCGAGTTCTGCCCAAATTTTATTTATTTTATACACGTATAGCCAATTCAGGCGGGCAACGAATTTTCACTTGTTGCCGGCGGAGTATACATTGCATTTATACGTTTGGTGGCACCTTGGCCTAGCTATATATAACCGAATAAGGTATAGCTAATAGGAAAATTTGTGAAGATCGCAAATTCTCATGCATGCATTCTTTTCACTAGCTGCATGCTTTTCACTAATTCCGCGTATATAAATGAGCTATTTAAGACTGGGGGCATTGCTTGCTAGATATTAATAAGCTAATTCAGGCAAAATTTATTAAGGATATATTTTTACTGCAGTTTCGTACCATTCTTGGAGCAACGGGATGATAAAATATCCAGCCTTTGTCATCAGCGTTGCACTCATGAAAGTTGTGATCCAGCGTGTTTGTTAACTGGCAGTTTGGAGTCTTCTTCTGGTGTTTTTTCTTAAAATTGTATCCAGCACACAATGGATTTTGCAAACACTTCATGCCGCAATGATTCTGGAAATCATACGTCGCTTGAGAGAGAATATCTTTCGTCAAAGGACAAACATCTACAACGAAAAGAATATTTATCAGGCAAAGAAAAACGTTTACATGCGGATAACTATATATTGTTGCAGAAATGACATGGAAACATTAGAAAAAACACAATGACTCTATATGAATTAGAAGCAAGAATGAGGGCTTCCCTATAAATTAAACTTAGCTAAACTTACCTCCATACAGCGAGCGAAAAGGAATCGCCACGTTCGTGTGATCGTCACGCATGCAGTATTCTTGTTCCATTGTAACTGCAAGTGGCAACAAGATCAGGAACAGAAATCGCACAGACACGAGTGCTGTTCGAAGAAAGCGTTTCATTCTGTTGTTATGAGAGAACATGCTCAGACTCGGGTTGACCAATTTTTTGCTTGTTTTGTGAACTGCGAAACTGATCGAAACTGAACTAAGTGGCGAATTTTAGGACGTTATGTAGCTATACATACGACGCGCAAATAATTATATTATAAGCTCATTAAACATGTTTACATTACAAAACTAACAGTGAGATCAAAAACGTGCCTAGCTCTTGGCATTTACGGTTTTCCGGCACTTTGGTTATTTGAGCGTCTTAGTCAAATTGCCAAGTGTCTCTTTAAATTGTCTGTCAAAGTTTTACCTGTTTACGCCGGGCAGACTGAGTATTGTCCTCTGGAACAAATTTAACGCAAATATAAAATTTTAAACACCAATACTAGCAGTTTTTTTGCGCTGATATAGTTTCAGCATGTACATATCATATGAAATTCAAGTAACTTCAAAAAGATGTTTGCATAGTACACTACTATAGTCGAAATCAATTTTGCATGTGTTGTGCTGTGTAGAGACCGATATACCTGCACTTAGCCCGCTAAGGCTTAGATCATTATCAGTTCATATATAAGCAAAGTATTTTTAAAAGGCAACATTGATGTGAATAATAGGTATATAATTTTGGTCCCATTTTGGAGAAAAAAGTTCCCTTATATACACAATAAAATTTCCACTTAAAAACCATTTGATGGGCAATAATATTTTTGAACGCCCGTGTTTCGTGAGTTTTTTGCATTCATAGTAATTTTTTGGACATTGACATTAAGATGCCCAACACAATTTTTTGAAAATAATGGTTATTTTCTAATTAAATCCGCTGTATATTTTTGAAAAACGCAAAGTAACTATCTTACTGATGTAAAACGGGATCTAAAGGGTTTGAATTTTTCACAAAAGTTAAACAGCTGCCGTTGCTATGGCAACAATGACGTTTCAAGTGGGCGGATATTTTAGCTTTAAAGTGATCAAGTTTAACTCGAAAATGACATCGGCGAATCTCAAATTCTATTTCACACAATGACTTTTCTTGGTATACTTTAATTACTCTTATTAATTATCTTTGAATTTAATTATCTTTGCCATTCTGAAAAGATTCTGTTGATCCAAAAAAATTATGAATTTATATCAAATTTTTTTACAGTGAAACTGTCAAAATAATTGAGTATGCTAAGAATCATTAAAAAAAAATTGTGGATCAGCGATGATGTTTTCGAGTCTCTGTTTTCGAGTTAAACTCTTCAAAGCAAAAATATCCGCCATTTTTAAACATCATTGCTGCTATAGCAACGGCACAGTTGGGTCAATAACTATTGTGAAAACACTCTTTAGACCTCGCTTTAGACGTTGTTTTACATAAGTAAGATGAATTAATTTTGTTTTTCAAAATGTAATAGGCGTCCAAAACTACGGATCTAAATCACGCAAATTTTTTATCATGATTCATATTTTAAAAAACTGCATCGAACTACATTCATCAAATAATAAATTACTTGGCCTGGAATCGCAAGAGAGGCAACAATAACTAGTTTCTTGATTTAGGCAATATGTATCTTTCTTCTTTTAAAACCAGAATCAGTAAAACCTTTCTTCACATGCGGACAGCACTGCAGTTGCGTTTGTGGTGGACTTCAGCATGCTTCATTAGGTGCTTTCGACTTGAAGTTTTGAGAGTCAATGATAAAATCATATTGAACAAGCCCCCTTAAACAATTTACTGCCAAGAATAATGGAATATTTATCATTTATAGACCCGGAGCGAGGGGGATTCGGCGTAATATTTCCCGAAGTGATGATATTTTCCGAGGGGCTATCCGAGGGTCTATATTAAAATGATATATTATACCGAAAGTTAAAGAACTCGCTAAGTTCAGAATAAACTTTAAAACTTGCTGAACATTAACTACGCGAATACAATTTTTAATTTCTTATGTATACCTGAGTTTTTGACGTTTCCTCTTTAAAATATTTGAGCATGTATCTTTTGGATCATTAAAGGTAACATACGTCTTGAAAATCTTTGGTTAAATCAAATCTTCTGTACGAAATTACAAACAACAGCTCGCGAACGCCATATTGTTTCAGAGCGTGGTGTCCACGCGTCACGCGTGAGCGTGGGATACTATAATATCCGGTGGATCTGCCGTAGGATATTATTAATAGTATATCTCACGCTACATTGCGAAATTATGAATTTGAGTGAAATAGCGTAAAAAATCACATTATCACGTTGTACAAATGCTGTTTTTTCATTGGACAATTTGAATTTGAGGTATAATATTAGTATTATAAACTAAATCTCTATGGACAAAAAATCTAATAGCATAATTTCCACGTACATGTCAAGGTCCAGACCATAGACAATCCAAAATATATTTTCTTTTGGATTGTCTATATCCAGGCACACCGGACGCGATTCGACAACGCGACGCGATATTTTAGTTTTTGAAAGTTAATAAAACAGCCAATGATAGCAAATTTTAAAAGATATGTAGACCAAATAACTCAAAATGTTATAACGCTTCGAAATATTTGGAAAGTTTCCACTCCGGAAAATTATCCGTGGATTGGAAGGGACAAGAAATTTTTTCTTTGTCTTGTGAGCTCTGGGTTGGAACTAATGACTTTAACACAAAGAAAAATTTTCTTGTTCGTCCTGAGTGGAAATTAGCATTGAGTGCATTTAGCATTTTTTCGCGCAAAATGGCATTGCATGGCACCGAGTCTCCGAGCGTTCCACTGAGAAAAAATTAAACTTTTTTGCCAGGGAAGGTGGCGAAAATTGTGTGTAGCTATATTAGTTTACATACAGTGTCAGTGTGTATATATAAGTATATTTTTGCAGTAATTTAGTAGCGAACATGCTTTTATTTTTAGTTTAAGTTAACTTAAACAGCTAGGTGTAGCTCTATAGACTTCTTCGGTTATATATACGCAGCAGTTTGTAAATTGTTTTCGAGCAATTTCTATAACAACCTAAAAATGTTTACTTTTAAACACTTAGCTATAGCCACTGCGTTTATACAAGCGCAACTTTTCGAAAGGTCGTGTTAATTAAACACACGTCCTAAATATAAGGCAGCTGGAATAATATTAGACTAAGTGTAATAACCCATGCACTTAAGGTCTAGAATATGACTAGCAGTTACTATCGCAAGGAAAGTGCTGCCTTTTTGCCACATGAACTGAATGCAAAGTTAACTTGTTTATAGTTATACACATACTATGTTTATACTTCTAAACAATTCTCTATAACTAAAGGGAAGCATACGTTTGACCCATTAATGGCCTCATTTCCATGTTTCATCATTCGTGCCATGACAGGCCTGCACATGAAGGTTATATCTCCTATATATGTTTCCTGCACAAATTTCTTTCTCGTTGATCATTTAAGCCCCATCAGACCAATCACAAACTTATCCTTAACAGAACATGAGTATATGACAAACATAAAAATGGGGCCATGAGCCCATGGGGTCAAAAGTGGATAAACAGTATTAATGTCTATTAACCTACTAGCTGGTAATGCATCCTACTTTAGTATTATCTCTGTTTAACACCAGACAATGTTACACTGTGTAACGCCAGACAATTTCACTTGTCAGTGCTAAAGTATACTGTCAGGTAAATGGGTTAACAAACTAATCTGCCAATGTCTCTTAGTTTCCCATTAGCTGGCAATGCGCCCTACTTTAGTATATACTGTCTATAAACGCCAGACTATTTTACTCGTCAGTATGTAGAGTTACTGCCAGTAAATGGGTTATTAACAAGGACCATAACATATTTCAGATTGAGCTAGTTAAATTCTCGGGAAACTTTTAGGCGAAAAATTTCACACTTGAAGACAAAATCCCCCCATGACGACAAAACACCAAGACTGAATGTAATCATAGTCTGTAGTATTTTATTTGGGAAGATATTTAATATAATAGACATAGACATAGTAGTCTTTACAGCAATCAGAGAGTTGAGAGATATGTAAGACAAATTAAATTGTAGGGCCGTAGGAAGATGATTAAAGTTAGGGGGGGGGGGGGTTGCTGAACGGCGAGCGCCGAAGGGGCGACCTGCCGCCATGGGGGAATGGTGGCGGGGGTTATGCCCCCGGGAAAATTTTTAATTTTCAACTCTCTGAAACACGTTTTCATGCATTAAGGGGTTAGAATTGGAATAGAGCTGCGGCAAAGAAATATTCAATCTTCCTCTTCGCCATACATCTGTTATTAAGCAAACTCAAAACGGATGCAACTGTGCGTTCACTTCTAGATTCACTTAGAAATTAGAATTTTTACGGTGGCTTAGCCCTCTGCTTCAAAAAGTCAGGGGGCTCAAGCCCCCCTGCCCCCGTGGTTCCTACAGCCATGAATTATAATATGACAACAGCGAAGGCCCCATTTACATGGGACCGGAACGAAGTCAAACCGGCATATCATAGCATAGTTTTCAGTTATATGATAGATGTTTACATGAGACCGGGAGGAAAATAATTGACCGTTCTCGTGTAAACATGTTCACAATTTCATTCCGGTTTGACTTCGTCCCATTGTCACAGCGGATTTGGACTCCTCGCGGATATGGACCCCCGGTCCAGATCCGCTATAGCCGGATTCGGACCCCACGGTACATATCCGCTAGCTGATATTCACGACACTGCGTTCTACTGAGAACAAATTAAACTTTTTTGCTAGGGAAGCTGGCAAAAATTGTGTGTATATTAGTTTACATACAGACTACAGTTACAGTGTGTATATAAGTATATATTTTGCAGTAATTTAGTATAGCGAACATGCTTTTATTATTAAATTATAACTAAACGGATATGACCATATAGACTTTTTCACGGTTATACGCAGCAATTTGTAAATTGTTTTTGAGCAATTTCAATAATAACCTAAAATTGTTTACTTTTAGGCTCATATAGCCACGCCTGTGTTTATACAAGCGCAACTTTTCGAAAGGTCGTGTCGCGTCCCAAATATAAAGCAGCTGCATTCTTCAAAGCCAATTTTTGGAAGGTTTATATATGAATATGAGACATTAAGACATGCAGTACCCATTATTTTACAAGCAAAACACATTTGTGGTATAACTATGTTGCTATGCTTAGGCAGTCCCTAGAATACAGCTGCCACCGAATGTGGTGCTGTCGACTCGCATTGAATGATATTGTATTGGGCTATAAAGCAGGGCCGTACACAGCAGGGGGCGGGGGGCAACACCCCCTGCCCCGAGAAAACTATATTTACGATTTTTAGAATGTCATTATAAATTATTCTTTGGATAGTTGGCAATTTTTCAAGTTAGCAATTCCGTTCCGTTCCGTTCTATAGCTCAACTAAAACCTGTTTCGTTATTGACAGGAATTTCATTCTATTTCTTTGAGGTGAAACCAGTGCCCATTTTAGCACCGATATTTGAATATTTGATTGCTTTCTTCCACATGCAGGCAGACATCGCCGATGCCGGATTTTTGAGTTAAATTACTTTAAAGCTAAAGTATCCACCTTCTTGAAACGCAATTGCTACCATAGCAACGGGAGTTGTTTAACTTTTGTGAAAAATTCAAACAATTAATTAGACGCTCTTTCACATCGGTAAGATTCTTTTTGTTTCTCAAAAAGAAAATACGCTAGATCTATATCGATCGATAAGATTCCATTTCTCTCAAAACTGTGTTGAGCCACCTTAATGTCAATACCAAAAAAAATATGCATGCGCCGGCGGATAAATTTCAACTTGAAAATGAGGCTCGCAAGTGACATTAGCACTCATGAAACATCAGGCGTTTTGCACAATAAACTCATCTGAAATAGTTTGTCGTTGCATTGACATTGTGTACATGTCAATACGAACAAAGCAAATTCATCCGCGCTTGTAATTGTGTACAGAGCGAACGTTGTTTCAAACTTCATGGCGATGAGGTTGTAATTGATAAGGTATCAAGTGCATTACAAAACATGGCATTTTGAAACGTTAAAACTTCCCAACCTTCATTTGAAATTCCTGTTAGAAAACGGCTCTTCAGAGACTTGGAGAATGCAATATTTTTCTGTGGGGCTGTGGGGCATGCCTCCAGACCTCCTCAGTTGAGCCCTTCCCCATAAATATAAACAATTTGCTTCAGACGGCGCTGGTCCTGTCACTCATATCATCTGCAGTTTGTAGCGAACATGTTTTCATTACATCCTCGTTCCCAGGGCTTTTTGGCTGCCTGCGGTGCCATAAGCCGAGAAGCCCTGGGAACAAGGATGATTTCATTATTGACTATAAGCAAGTCACTATACACTTTTAGTACGATTATACGCAGCTGTTTGTAAATGATTTTCGAGCAATTTCCACGACATATAATTGTTTGTATTTAGACGCTTAGTCACTACAAATATCAACCTCGTTCCCAAGCTAGGAACGTAGAGGAAAGAGCCTGGAAACGAGGTTGGCTTGTAGCAAGCCATTCTCGTACCCAGAACCCTTTTTACCCCCGGTGCGACGAGGGGCTCTGTCCAAATCCATAACCGGATACCATAAAAACATGGTAAGAAAACAATATCCTGTGTTAGAACTAGCCAATGAGATGCAGGTTCGGATATGGATTTGGCCAGAGCTCCTCGTCACACCGCGCGTAAGAAGGGCTCTGGGTATGAGAATGGTCGCAAGCTTGTCAACAAGTTGTAACAATTTGGTTTCAACAACCTTGCAGCGGGTTGAGAACGAGCGCGGTTGACAATTTGTCAACAAGCTGGGAACAAGCAGTGCGAACATATCCTGTTGACAATTTGTTGGAACAGCACTGCTACAAGGCTGCTGGTGGTTTTTGTTACAACTTGTGCGTTTTTACGGAGGGTCCTGAAGGGGGGGGGGGGGTCCCAATCCCATTTCCCACAAAATCCCAGTCCCAGTTGGATTTTCACTAGAAATCCCAGTCCGAGTTATTGAAATCCAAGTCAATAAAAACCCCTTTATTTATCAGTAGAATAAACAGTTTTAAGACCTTTTAAGCCATCGTGTGTGCAAGTGGTGGACACTTTATGAAATATCGGGGGGCTCGTGCCGAAGGCACAGAAAATTTTAAAATTTGAATCCCGGAAATGGCATTTGCAGCATTCTGAGACACGCATAATCGGAAAACGCATAATTCCAGGCGCCAGAGTATGCCTGTTCGCAGGTAGTGCTGTGAATAATATAGTTAATAACAAAAATCATGACCAAAGAAATTTTAAAACACTTAAAATGTAGAAAAATTGGGAATCGACTCGCATTACCTCAATCTCATTCCCATTTTTGAGGACTTCATTTCCCATTCCCAGTGACCAAATCCCAGTCCCAGCAACCCAAATCCCATTTTCCCAGTCTAAAATTAGATCAATCCCAGTTCCCATTTTACCCCTTCAGGGCCCTCTTTACGCGTGTAAACAGTGAGTCAAGACTTTAAAATACTTGATAATGGTTCATGATGTACCCGCAGACACTTTGCATTGTTTATATTTATCTTTTGTATTTTCAGGACAGTACAGAAAGGTTGTGTTGGTTGCTTTGACAGTTATGTAGCAACAGCTAGGTATGTTTGTTTACGCTTTATTTGCGAAGCTGCCATGTTCAGACGATTAGAAAACTGGGGCCGCTCTTTCAAAGCTGGGTTGGCGGTAACCCTGTGTTAAAATGTAAACCACTGTTTCGGGTTGTCCACTTCTGCACGTCCATTTAAGACTTTAGAAAACGAAATATCCACGCAAGATTTCTTAGAAAAATATTCCCATGTTTACCAACAAACTGTCGGGAAGGTTGTTTTGAAAATTTTATTAAAGGGGCCCTACAGTCATTTTTTAGTCAAGTAAGTATTGTTTACATTTTTTGTTATTGTCGCTACTTGACATGCGCATCACGGCATGCATGCGTCTTCCGGTGTGCGGAAATACTTATACTCATGGATACTGCATGTAAGATGCAGCCAAACGAATTTCCGGAGTCCCCTACTTAAGGTGGCTTTTCGACTAAAAAATGACTGTAGAGTCCCTTTAACCGAGGATAAAGCTGACTTTTGAACAACTGCATGACCCCAGGAGTTACTAGCATGCAGTGAGACACTGATAAACAGATTGGGGGGGAGCATGATTCATATTTGAAAATTCCTGTTCTCTCTATATTGTCTTTACAATGCTATTTTAATTTGTCCACTAAAAGTGGTAAGATTGGAAGGAATATGCTCTTTATACATACAGTGGAGTCAGGGCCGTCCCCCTAAATTTTTCCTTCCGGTACGCCCATGTGCTTCATTAAGTGGCTATGCACAATGTGTTCTAAAACCTTACTAGCGATGCAGGTTAAAGATATCGGCCGATAGTTTCCCGGGTCACACTTTTTCCCTTTTTTAAATACCGCACATACATTGGCTTCTTTCCATTTGCCAGGTAAGCTACCGCTACTAACTGATTCCTGGTAGATATCTGTCAGAATCGGTGCTATTTGACTTGCATTTTCTTTTAGAAACCATGGTGGAATTCCATCCGGTCCACTTGCTTTCTTTGCATCTAAGGATGCTAGTTGTTTCTCGACTCCTTTCACCGTGATCACAATATTACCAATGGCAGGCGTGAAGTTACTTCCTGGAGTTGGTATATTCTCGACATTTTCTGTCGTGAAAACACTAGCAAATTGTTTACTAAGTACCTCAGAATTTGATTTTCATTTGATTTAAGTGTCTTCCATTGCATATTCACCAACTTAGATATCTGACAGAGAAACTTGCACACACTATAAAAACAGGTATGTTTTTACATTTGTTATTGACATATCGAATGATCGTTTTTTCCTACTATTTTTGGATGCTGCGATCTCGTACTCAGAGCATGCCCGTTCGCAGGTTGGGAGACCGATACAGCTCCGGAGAAGCGATTGCTTTACACGATAAAGCGAGTAAGGACAGAGCGTGTATTATGTTCAATTGGGACTATGTCTAGTGCGGCCACCTTTTGCTAATGTAGGGACAAAATCAGTCCAAGGTTAAGCAGGAACATTTTATCCTGAGGCTAAGTGTTTTTGGAGTGTGTATGGATATGTATATTTGCTATGGATCGATGGATTAAACAGTAAAAGTTTAGCTGCCTTTGGCTTTGCCATCAATTAAACACTCAAGAAAAAAGCGAAAAAGCACGAAACAATCAACCCCACTATAAACTACCACCCATAAATCCACCTGCTTCAACCGTGCTGTTATATTATGGAACCTTCTTTGTAATTCAGCTCTACGTATAGTCCTTTTTAATCCAACTTCATTAAAAGATACGTAAAAACAATGTACACTAACAATACGAAAAACAAAATGAAAAATAGTGCGGCAGAAAGTACATAAAACATGCAGCATTTCCGACGATTTTTAAAGGTGCTCTACAGCTCTCAACTATTTATATTTTCAAGCTTCTAGAGCCAGTAATAAATGACCAAGAAACAATAATCGGGCTTTTTAAGAACCCAAAACATAGTTAAACTGTTTGTATCATAAAAAGTGGGCTCCTTTGTGCACATGCGCAGATCGGACTGTAGATCTCCTTTAAAGGGGAAGAGGTGACAACAGGGCGTGTAGGGTGCTAAAAAGCCTGACTCTTCCACAGTCCCTAACACTGCTTCTAACGCAAAGGACCATGGGAATGCCCCGAGGCGTTTTGTAGTAATTCAACGCGCGCGTTACTGAAGCGACTGGGGACGAGTCAGCTAAAAAGCTCTAAAAGTCAACTCCTATATCTATGCTCAACTCCCGAATCCTTAAAAAGTCCCTACAAATGTGAAATCGTTAATTATCTGCCTTAAATTCTCTAAATTGCTGTGTCCTGTCGGAGATGGCTCAGTGGTCTAGTGGTATGATTCTCGCTTTGGGTGCGAGAGGCCGCGGGTTCGATTCCCGCCTGAGCCCCCACTTTTTGATTTACGAACTTTTTACCTTTTTTCTAAAAACTTTAAATTTAATATGCTGAGTATACCAAATACTTCCTTAAATTAATAAAGCGATGTTTCAAATTTATTTAAGGAGTGATAAGTATTTTTGACAATTGAATTTATCGTATATATCATAACAAGCATTGCCTGCATGCCTGATTTTTGAAACCTCTCGCCTGCAGAATTTTGGGAAAGTTGGGCGTGCGGGTAAATTTGTAATTTCACAAAACACGAATTTTTTCACAATGTGTACTCGAACTTTATTTCCGTAGACAGACTTGATGAAAGTGGGCTCATATTTGTAACATAAAGTTGGAAAAAAATTCGGGGGAATAAAAATGAAAAATGGGGGCTCAGGCGGGAATCGAACCCGCGACCTCGCGCACCCGAAGCGCGAATCATACCACTAGACCACTGAGCCTTCATTCCAACTCGCTTTAAATTATAGAATATAAAGATTTGTATGTTTTTAGAAATCTTGTGAATAAAATATGTCAAATATTTAAAGAGTCCTAGTCAACCACAATGCAATGCGCGCTTTTGTTTACGTTTTTCTGTTACTTTTCTCAATTGCTGCCGCCATTTTCGAGGCCACAAAAATGGCTGCCTCTGGCCCACAACGTAACAGAAACGTAAACAAACGCACGCATTGCATTGTGGTTGACCAGGACTCTTTAACAAATAGATAAGATTTTGCCGGTTATAAATACACAGTATGACGTCATAATGTGGGAGGAACAGAAAGTGGCTCACGAGTCGCCGAGGCGAGCGGGTCTCTTTTTTGTTTTTCCCACATTTTATGATGTCATACTGTGTATCTATAACTGAAAAGACAACGGCAGAATCTTATCTATTTGCTTTATATAATAAAAAGAAAATCCCCGAATTAAACATTTAAATAGCTTACTTTTTATCCACCCAAACATTGGAATTTTAAAGGTGATCTACAGTCCGTATGTAAACAAAGCCTTTGTTTACATTTTTGTGTCCAAAATATTGAGCTTTATTCGACAACTATTTATATTTTCAAGCTTCTAGAGTATAATAAATGAACAAGAAACAACAATCAGGCTTTTCAAGAACTCAAAACATAGTTAAACTGTTTATATCATAAAAAGTGGGCTCATTTGTGCACATGCGCAGATCGGACTGTAGATCACCTTTAAAAAAGTCGAAATTTTACAAATATCATGTGCATATGATCTATAAAATGCTATTGGATAAGGTTTTGTGTGACGTATTCTGTGCGTCTGTCCTCTAATAGATCATGGCTGTCGACCAATGAAAGCGCTTGAATTCTTAACGTTATTATATAATGCCATATGTTTTGATTAAAACGTATACGGGGCACATATTACAGGGGCAAGTTTTCTTACATGACATTTTTTCTTACATCATCTTTATTTTAGACTTTTTTGCAAAAATCTTCTTATATCTGACTATCTTCTTATATTTACTCTGATTGATTATCAACTTTGAAGTTGATAAAAATTGATGAAGATGAATTTTTTTTCAGTTTAACACAAATTAGTCCATACAGTCCATATTTGCTTACTCACTAGTTTGTACGCTTGTTTAATTATAAATACCAAGTCTAAACTTTGTTTACTTTTCCATCGTATTTATTTATTTACTTCTCTATCCAATTAGCCTTTTCCCAAAAGATATGACGGTGCATTCTGGGATCGTTTGGAGGGACAAAATATATAGTGACAGGTATGGTATCAAATATCAACTTTTTAAACGACCAAAAACTGAAATATCTCCTTTTTACAGTAAACATTTAATTTAAATGTGTGCTGCCATATTTCTTGTCCCTCCAACATGGGATTCGCGCGAGTAGACCAAGGACTTTGAGAAATGGCTAATTTGTTTACTTATCTACTGTTAACTTATTTACTCAGTTTGTCAGTTTACTTAATTTGTTTACTTCTTTGCCCTATCGTTGTTGACACATACTCCTACGGGGTTATCAATGGTCGCCCTCCTGAGGTCACAATGTGCCTCCTGAGCGCATTTTCCGTGAATGTAGTATTTCCCGCCACAGACCTCCCCCTCGTTGCGGGCGCATATGTTACAGCAGTTACACGCGTCACGGAGGATTCCACGAGTACATTGCTTGGCTCGACCGGGACATCTTATCTCTTTGCACTCCGGACATCCCTTGCCAATGAGCATGCGTCGTATCATCAGGTCTTTTGCTCTTTCCGGTAAGGGTTTGAAATCATTGTATTGCGCATGTCCCAAATATACAAGCACAGCAAGGAGCACGAGGACTAGGCCGACTTTATTCATTTTCTATGAACAGAAAAATGATTAAGAATAACGTAATTAGTGTGAATTTAAAACGGAAAAAGAAATTATCTACCCTTATTTAAATGAAATGATGCAAATATTGTTCTAGAAATATAGAAAACGAGCCGCGAGTTTTTATGGTGTTATAACGGAGGGGGTACACCCCCATCCACAATAATTTTGAGTCAGACCTTTGAAAAGTTGATCAAAATGTCCGCCAAAACTTGGTCCCGCAAAGCATCTGGACCCCACTGTTAATGACTTCGCGATTATAAATCAAAATTATTCGGTAGTAAATTAACAGCAATAAACATGTGGTAATTTGGGCATGGTCGAAGAATATATCACGGTTTAATTAAAAAAAACCCATAAATTTCCCGCTGCCGGCTCATGTGAAAAGAGTCTGCCCAAAGTCATGGGTTATCTCCGGCCGCTCTGGTTTCCTCCCACAGAAAAAGTTCACAGAGTGGGTTAGGATAAACAAGGAATTAGTAATATCAGTGATATCACAGTTAATTGTAAATATAAGATAAATAATAGTCTAGGCTAAGTAGCTAATATAAGTAAGCGTATAATATTCGATGTAATCGGTCACTGAAAAGTCCCAATGGGGAATGAACTGAATGTATATATATTGATCATAAAAAAAATTAAATGTAATTAAGCTGGTCAATAATGGCAATGAACTAACATAAATATAAAATCGACATAACTGTCATAAGTCATAACCATTTCACAATGCAATCTATAAAAATTGGCAGTGGACAGTACATGTACGCGATTATTTGGAGCTGTAGATAAAAATGGTTCCACTGAGCTCAAAATTCTTCATTGCTTGTTCAATTAAATTTGTAGTTTTCCCTTTTATTAAATCAATAATAAATTGTAATTGGCATTTTATATTAACCGCTAAACAGCAAATTAATTTCTACTAGCTTGTATTGTAAGTTATAACGACTTATAATACACTATTTATGCATTCATTTAATATACATATTAACAAAGAAAAAATATTATCACAGAATGGAACTCTTTTACCTTTGCCTTTTAATTCAGTAGTTCAGCTTTACCGTTAATATTTTCCAAACTTGTTTAAGAAAATTGACTACCCGTTAAGTTGAAAGAAGTATTGCCAATGTATGGCTAGTGCATTGTTTACAACACAATACAACCAGTTGTTAATCTTGGCGGGAATACTGGTCACCAGAAGGAGCTATACTACTTACAGTATATATATATATATATATATATATATATATATATATATATATATATATATATATATATATATATATATATATATATATATATATATATATATATATATATATATATATATATGTATATATACACGAAATTTCTGCACGCTCCTTGCACGTATGACGTCAGCCACGTGTTGGCCGCGCAGAAGAAAATAGAACGAGACTGGAACTGATGTCCAATACCTCTTCAATTTCCGCCATAATTTTATATCTTTGCTTCGCAGCTTTCGCTTAGTATAATCACAGAGAAGAGATAGTACAGAGAAGAAACAGGCGGCAAATTGTGTCACGCCGATACATTCAGTCTATCAACTATAGAAAGTTATATTAACTCACTATTTTATTAAATTTTTTGATCATGCAGAGGAAAAAACTATACATATTATAGAAGTATTCATGTTTTTTTTTATGCAAGAGTTACATTTTGAGGAATTTATATCATTCGCTGCTTTGTTTTTTAATATATGAGTATCCGAAACTCCAGTCAGTGCTTTTCACGATTTTAATAAGGAGTAGATAGGGAAAAAACAAACTTTTGCAAAATAAAATATTATGTTAACACTTTTAATAAAAAGAAATCAATAAAAGTGATCACTTACCGTTATTTCTACAATTTATTGAACAAAATTTCCATGGGTATCTCATTTTTTTAAAAAAAGCGATTTTCACCTTTCGAACGGCGTCTTCCCTATCTTTTGCTACTATGAAATCTCAGCGATGGCACTGGCTGGAAGATTTTGCGTGGCGCGTGGAACCCATTGAACTATAAATAAACTGGAAGGCTAACTGCTATGATTAAGGCCTATGATTTGATGAAGCCAAAATAGTTTTTCTGAGTTATGAGCAGAAATACTTGACCCCAAACGTCGGGCTATATATCAAATTGAAGCTATTGAAATTGCTATTCGGTGTGGAAATTTCAAGACTTCAGCGAAAAGAAAAATATTTAAAAAATACAAAAACAACTGCAAAACGGCAAATTATCGGTAATTATGTTTGTAGTTTTTCAATATTTCCCTTTTAGCTAAAGTCTTGAAATTTCTACATCAAATAGCGTTTTTCAATAGCTTCAATTTGATATATAGCCCAACGTTCAGTGTTGAGTATTTCTGCTCATAACTCAGAAAAACTAAAATGCACTGGCTTCAATTCCCCCCCCCCTGAGTTAGCCTTCCAGTTTATTTATAGTTCAATGGTGGAACCTGGTGGAACGCGTGACACAAAAATTCAAGTTATCGAGGTGTCTGTTCCGCCTCTCTGTACTATCTCTTCTCTGTGGTATAATCCGACCAACAAATTTTGTTTTTAAATTTCTTCTCAGCCATAGCTTTGGGGCAATAGGCCATTTTTCTTCAGTGGTGGGGCAGAGGAAGGGGCCCAGTGGGGAACATGATGTCCCACCTATCCAAGGTATTAAAAAATGCCTTGATTAGAAAATCCTTGATAAGTGTACAAGAAATGCTACTATGGTTTTGGCAAACAAAAAGTCAGTTTAACAACATTCCGGGCAACAAAATTTGCCAAGGAAAACTTGTTGACAATTGCGCGCACACACGAGAAGGTAAACTTGTTAAGGAAAATTTATCTAAATCAGGACAAAACTTTTATTCAATTTAAAGATATTGATGAACAATTCATTTTCATTGGATTAATTTTCTTAATGAATAATTCAAATATTAATCATAAAAGCTATACGCGGACATTGATTGCCTTTTTTGCGCACCGCTTTTGTTAAATAAATCATTGTGTTTGCCGTGTGAAAATCATAGATATACACTAGATGGCGCATCTCTTTTAGTAAAATTGAAGCCAAGAATATTCCAGCGGTTACCCCCATTTGAATTGATGGCGGCCATGTTGGTCGTTCCCACATGCTAATAAACGCTTAAAAACAACAACAACTTTCATCATTTGAATAGTTTAAAAATGTATTTGGAATAGGGTTAACTTAATGTTTAAGTTCCCTGTTTAAGAAATAGAAAACATACGAATCTTCTCATTTCATGGGAACGACCTGAGACAGCAATCACGGCTTCAATTTTTGAATTGCAGAATAATTAGATGCACTATCTAGTGTATATAAGATATCTATGGTGAAAATAGATTTATTTTGTAATTATTTTCAGCTTTTAGGTCAGACTTATTTGCGTAAAATATTATAATTTTTTCCAACCGAAGTAATTAAGAAACATATGCTCTGTTCCCATGACTGAGTGTGCTTTTTGAAGTAGAAACAATTCATGTTTTGCCACCTTTGAGAAACATGGCTAGGAAACAATGCGAAACATGACTAAGAAAAAAGTTTCCTGGTTTATTTACCTTTGGGAAATATGGCCAGGAAACTATATTTCCTGGTTTGTCCACCTTTGGGAAATATGGCTAGGAAACAATTGCGTTTCCTGGTTTGTCTTGTCTGCGGGGAATATGGCTAGAAAATATGTTTCCTGTTTTGTCCACCTTCGAGAAACATGACTCGAAAACAGTGTTTCCTGGTTTACCCATCTGGGTAAATTCAGCCCCCTCCCCACCCTCCCCACCCTCCCCACCCTCCCCACCCTCCCCATTCTCCGGGTTCCCTCACTACACTGTTTCCCCCACTCCCTGCTTTCCCCACCCCCCAATTCTTGATTATTCCCAGGTTTCCTGAATTTTACCGCATTCCCTGGGTATTTTAAAGTTTCAAATGGTCGGAATTTGTCGATTTGCGTCGTACCACCTCTCGACTTCCGACGGAGTTCCGGACATCTCCGAATTTTACATTTCTTTCTCAGTTCTCTTCATGTTGGCGCCCCACAAAATGGCGGCTGAAGAAGCAAAGTTTAAGACAATCATCATGCTAATCCTACCTTCGTTTAAAGGTAATACATTTTATTTAGCATCAGTACTTTTAGTAGAGTACTTAGATTGCTAATATAGATAACATTTTTGGACATCGAGCTAGAATTTAGAGCGATATTTCGGTATAAAATTTGTACTTTCCATGGACCATGTGCTTAATGACCTTAATCGCTAGTTCGGTATTGTCGAAATAAAAACGTGATTTCGATGAAGTCGTTGTTCAATAGTTGTGGACCAACCTAATAAAAAGACTTAGCAGAGTCTAAAATTGTTTAAACCGCCGAACAAAGACTTATTTTTGAGTTTTATTGTGGTATACCAAGGGGGTATTAAAAGTTTTATAGGACTTGAGGGCATTTCTCACTCCAAAAACTAAGTACGCTAAGCAAAAAAAATCCGGGAATGATCTGGCAATTAGGAAAATCCGTCAAAATCTAAATTTAAAAGTCTGTTCAAATCCTTAAATAAAATCCACGAGAAATCCGGAAAAATCTCACAAAATCTCTTTTTTTATAACTCCAAGAAAAAATCTGCGGATTTTTGAACGTCTGAGATGAATTTCTGAGATGTGTTCAAAAAAGTTATTTCTGAGGGGTAAAATGGGCATCAGCATCCTTTGATCTTAATAGGGTTTTCTCTGAGATCTGGCAAAAATGTACAAATCGGGTGTAAGGCCAGCACTTTGAACTTTTTTTCTTGGGGGTTCAAATTTTACTGAGCTCGTCCATATAGGGGTGGATTTTTTTGGAATGGCCATTTCAGAGAAATTGAATGAAAAAAATTAAAAATGGGTCATTCCAGAAAAGATCCATACCCCCCCTACGGAGGAAATCGAAAATAACCCCCTTCCCCCCTTCGGACATCCTTGAATGGTTCATCCTCCCCCCTCTCCGGACGTCAAAGCCCAAAATTACTCCCCTCCCCTTCGGACATCCACTATTTCTAAATTTATCTAAAGGCTACCTTGCCGTTTGAAAACGTCACCGAAAATTAGACTACGTTCACACTACGCGCGAGCGAACTAATGCGGGCAGAATTTACGTGTGTTCAGACTAAGCCATTACAGTTTGTTTACAAATTAAATTAGCACTCATGTAAACCCAAAATATTTGAAATTGAGCCAAGAAATTTAGCTGAAAAGCATTCGAGTTTACATGTTTGTGTTCACACAAAGCTATCAAGCGCTCCGTTTTCACCTCGTTCCATTTAGAAACCGTGCTCAAATTGTTACGGCAAAAGTGACGTGAAAGTTTTCAAATGATTTCGCTCCAAAAAATATAACATGCAGGAAAAATATAACATACGTACATTCTTAACATGCAGGATACGCTGTTACAGCGAGTTAGTTTTTGGTGGCCATGCATGCAATAGTGGGCCGCTTATTTTGCTTACGAGTTACGTGGACATATAATTATTGCTGTTACATAAACGTTCCGGTGTTTAAGAGCTACATATAGCCGATAAAAATTGTATGCTCATTATATAATCGCCGATCACATAGCTTTATCACAGTCTCAAACCTTCAGACAAACATATCCACATTCCTCCCTCCCCCTTCGGACAGAAAAAATTTCCTCTGTGGGAGGGGTATGGATCTTTTCTGGAACGACCCAATCACAAAAGATAGAGAAGTAACACATTTCTAAAACAAAAAAATCACCAAAAATAGTGATTTTATGATTTTTTTACACTCATTAGGGCTATTTACACGACAGTCAATTGTGGTGCCTGTGACTGGCTCTTGATCATTGCAGGTTATTGGATTGGGCGAAGAGGTTTAACTTCGAAAATCCACCCTAATTCATTATCAACATTTTCCTAAATTGAAAAACTGAAATCTAAAATCTCCTTTAAAATCTACTGAAAATTTTGCAAAAAGTTCCAAAGTGCAGGGATTTGGGAATCCAAAAATCCAAGCAGTTATAAAGTCTGTGATTTATATCCTCAATAAAAAAATTCTCTTAAATTCTTTGTAGTTCTACATTGCAATTTCCAAGAATGTTTCAAGTTGTTGCCTGAAGATTGATTTCTGAAAAATGCAAATGAAAGGTATATATCATCTTTACTCTCTAATTTGTAGCCTTATTTTTTTAATCGATTATAACGGTTGGAAATCGGCTATTTGCAAATCACTCAATGGCCGACTAATTTTATTAGATCAAATACACAGTTTCCATTAGGTACATTTAAGATTTGTACCTACTGTTGAAAAAGGGTAAATAAAGCAACTGTGAAAGAACACAAAACATTTTCTTGGCTTCCTTGCAACAAGCAATAAAATCCTGAATAGGTTTGTGTTACCAGAAAATTTAGGAACATTATTTTTTGGGAACAAGAAAGTTTTGGTTGCATAAATTGTTGGGTCTGCTTACCAAAACTTGTGTAACATGATCATGCTGGCCAGGAAGTTGCACAAGCTGTCAATTAAATATTGAAAAGCTTGTTGACCATTTTTGGCCAATGTTTGAGCAACTGCGCAGTTGATTTTGACATTTGTCAGGCCCAAATTAAATTGTTATAATCCACACTTTAGTGGAGTACACTCCACTTGATGAATAAAATTATCTGGCATTAGACAACAAGGTTAATTAATCCCCATGGCATTATTAATTCCCAAGCCTCTGGCGTAAAAAAAATACCTGTGGTTCCGGTTTCATATTGTGAAAAAATTAGGGTCGGTAGGTCGGAAATAATTTTTTTTTTTAAATTTTTTTTCATGGTTTTGGCGTTTGTCTGGAGTTACTGTAAGGCGCTTTTCGGGTCCTCGCACGAAGCTCCTCGCTGCGAGTGCTTGCATCTAATTAAAATTAACTGTTTTGCATTGTGATTGGATGAAGGTGCTCATGCATCACTCGCAGCTCGCTGCGAGGAGCTTCATGCGAGGACTGGAAAACCCCTTAAGGCAGCATAATAATTAACATTAATCCAGGGTTCGAAATAACGGTGATTCACAAATCACGAATCAATTTTCATTTTTCACGAACCCAAGTTCATAGAAATTGATCAAAATCACAAATCAAAAGTTTCTCAAATTGATAAAAATATACAATAATAAATTCAGTTCTTTGTAAATGTGATGAAGGATCATATATTCTGAAGATATTGTTGTTAGATTGTACTTAAAAACGATTATAATTCCACCCAAAATTCTATTTTTTTTGCGAGTTTGCGATGTATATTATATATTTGAAAATTGCAGTGCTTCCACTTTTTTACTTCCAATTAGCGAAAATTTCTTGAAAATTCCTTAAAATTTCCTTAAAATAAAAAAATAATTCACGAACCATTTTTTCAGAATTAATTCGAACCCTGTAATCTGTTTCATCCAGTTCTTTATATGGTAGTCATCTTAAATAATTATTATTTCAAACTTCTAGATGTATGGTGCAAGTTCCAAGAATGTCAATTTTTGGTTGAAGTGTTGCAGATCGCACAAACGTGAACACTGTTGACAGAAAGTGTAAGAAAGGTCTTATTTTTATGTCTTATTTTAATTATAAAATGCTTTAAACATTATACAATTTTCTGTGACCAGAGGCTGTGTTTTTTTTACCGTCATATTCATTAAAAAAACGACAACAAAAATATAAAAATCTGAAATGAATTAAGTTGGTGTAAATCCACAATATTCATTGTCAATATTTATATTATTATACAATTATTTTGGTGGATATAAATTTGGATATAGATAAAAGTTTCATGCTCAATTGGTTGTTCAAGTTTTGTGTTGCCCCCAATCACAGAATATCTCAAATGTTCAAAGTATTTTAATTTCGGAACAAGCCAAAAAATGATAAACTGTTTGTGTTTTAAAAAAGTTATGATTTTTCCTTTTATTTGAATCAGTACAGACATAAATTGGCACAGTAGTTCAAAAAACACATACATGTGTATAAATTATGTGTTTATTCAAGTTAAATATGTTGTATTTACATATTTTGAAAGAATTTTGCAAGTATCATATAATCTGTGGCAAAAAATACGAGTATTCAGTTTGTCATTATTTGGCTTTGTAACATCAATTCATTTTAAACAATGGGAAAATTGAGGTGGTTTTACAACAGGCCAAAACATTTCTATATGTTCAAACGTGAATTAACATTTGATCTTTAAATTCAAAATTCAGTGTTTTCTGGAAAGGTCCTGTTTCTTCTTTTGGTATCAACTTGAAGTATGTTTATCAAATTATCAAGAACATAACAATGATCAAAGTTTCTGGGCAAATGTAATTTGCACTTGAATTTGTTAATCAAAATGCATTGTGAGAACAGAATATCCTTGGGCTTCTGGATTACCATCTCAGTATTCTCTTGTTTAAGTAGACTTTCAGTATTTGTTTGAGAGTTTGAAAAGTTCACTTGAAAATCACATAGTTTGTACCAAAATTGATTCTAGATGATACGTTATTTGAGTCTTCAAATATTATATCTTGGAACAGACAATTTGGGATCAATTGAAGTTTACAACTGTGACCTTTAAAATTGACACTGTTAGAGCTGCTTGTTGTTTAATAGTCTTGTCTTATTTACCCCAGTACACTCTTATTGTGAGTTTTGATTATTCCTGGACACAAATAAAATGGATTTGTTGAGGAACAAGGCAGTTCTATACAGTGCTGACTTATAGGGGGGGTTGTGTTCTTCAGTTGTTCTTGGATTCTTTTGGCAAACAGATTATTGTTTTTAACAACACATTTGAACTTTGGAACAAACTTTGTGATATTAAAATATACTTTTCCAACTTTAAAACAAATATTTGACATTACAAAGTGGAACTTGTTTGTATGTGGATGAACTGAAGCTGCAAGTTGGAAAATGTCAGACAGCACTGATAATTTACTAAATTCCAAAACAATTTTTCAAGTCGAGATTGTCTTGTTGGCAGATTGACATTAAATCACAATGTGCGACACCTCTCAGAAATCTATCTATATTTGACATACTGGTACACGGGAAATTTTTACTTTTGGATTTTGCTGCCAGGAAGAGAAATATATTTTCTAGTCCTGTGAAGCAGCAAACTATGTACAATATTGGGGTAGCATGAGCTAGATTGTAAAATGAAAAGAAAACCACAACCAGTCAACACAATGGTGTTCTTTGGAATATGTTTTGCACTATAACAAAGAAAAGAAAAACAATAAAACAGTCAAAAGTAAATTGTCTGGTAAAAATATGTTACATAATACACGGTACATGTTTATATGCATGATGATTTCAAACATCAGTACGTTCAGCCATTAGAGTTTCAATAATTCTTAAACAAATTAAGTTCACACTTAATGTAACAATTTGGGATGAACAATCACATTGAGGTGCATCGATACTGAAGATAAGATCGGCTGTCTTTGTGTTACGTGTGCAAAGACAAAGTTGATCCTTATGTAATGAAATTGATTTAATTTTGTATGTTTGTTTCCTTGGCTTCAGTTCAACTTCAAATAGTTCCACTTTGTAACAGTATGTTATAATAGTCATAATAATAATAATATAAGAAAACAGGTTTACGTGGCATTTGAACATGGTCTTTTAAAGGTAAAGGTGAGTTTATACTTCAAAGAGATCTGTTTTTAACCTGACAACAAAAGTGTCCAAAATTTACTAAAATTAATCTTTCTGAGCTTTTTTGCTTTATGAATATATTGAGGAATAAATTTCATTTGTTTAATTGATAACCGATACAATGCGGTTTTTTTATATTTGTGTTTGGTTTGTTTTAGTGTTGATACTACACATTGATGAAAATGCAATGTAATATAGGATTGTATAGAAATTGTTTATCAGAAATTGTTTCAATTTCAGAAATTGTATAGAAAATTAGAAATTGTTTTTCAGAAATACTGTAATCTGTATATTTAGTGGCCAAAACTGTCGCATTTGCCTATTTTTGAGAAACTTTAGCAATGTCTACCTAAAACTTAGCTTGTGTTTTAAGTTATACGTATTAATCGGTAAACTTTTTCCAATTGAGGCGTTTGCCTTTTGATCAATATAAAGAAATTATTGAAAAAGAAATAAAATATTATCTGAGGACTTGGTTCAACCATACCTCGTGTGTTTCTACACACACTATGGTATTTACATACATGATTAACATTTCCATTTTTAGCGCGAGTAGGAATATGTGTATAGATTGTAAAACAGAACCAATTTTTTCACGAGTGAAATTTACGGTTTGTTTCTGAGAGGAAAAATCAATGTGTATATCGTTTAATTGTATTTACCAAGTGTCTAGAAATATACCACTTTTTTATGTTCAGTTTTCATAAGCAGAGCAATTTTTTCCCCAAAATCAATCAAAATTGAAATATAGCATTTTAAAAATTTTGTTGAACTGCATTTTCATCACTTGAATTAGTATTAACATTTATATAATCAATTAAAAGTTGTCAGGTTAAAAATACGCTTAAAGATATATATGGCTCTAAAAGACTGCATGGGAAAATTTCAAATTTTTTAATGTTTTTTTTTTGTTTTTGTTTTTTTCATTTGAAAAAGCTTTTCGTCGTGATATTTCCTTATTTACAGACTTGTATATTCAGTTGAGTATGGAGCTAATGTCTAATCGCAATGTTCGTTAAAAATATAATTTCTGGGTTTAAATGATGTATGCTGTCGATGCATTGTCAAAATGTTAAGGCATTTTGTGGAAATTAATTTGCTTCTAGCAATGAAATTTTGTTGTTTAAGACAATGTCTTGCTAACCACTTAACAATTGATCTCAGATGCATTATGACGAATCGACTTCTCTTACTTAGGATCTAAACATCGCGATAAAAGCATTACTTTCCATACTCAAGTGAGAATTTCGATCATGCACTTAACCAAAAACACTTCGTATCCAAAAAAAGTTGAAGAATGTAGAGTTTGCTTTGTCTTCGAGCCATATATATTTTTGTAATTGTGAAACAACTCTGTTACCTTTAGATTTTCCCGTCAAACCCATAAAATTTATAATTATTTATCTTGAAGTATAAACTTTTATCTTGAAAAGACCAAGTTCTCTTGTTTCTTCATGAATTAACTTTTCAATGTTAATTCACGGGTAAACATGTTTAATGTTGTGTTTATGCACTTATGTTGAACACAATGTTAATTGTTCTCCTTGTGCCATGTTCTGTTTTCTTCTATTGTTATTTAAATAAGTACAGTATGCTGTGGTTGTTCTCTTTTTATTGTTATTCAAATTGTAAAATTTACAAGTTCTTTTCAATAAATTGTCATTAATTATACAAGAGACTCCCTTTTTAATTAAAAGTTCAATTCCCATGGGAATTGAAAAAAAAAAAAAAAAAAATCCCCCTACCCCGGCCGGCTCCCCAAGTGCTACCTCTACTTCAAGCAGAAGCACTTCTACTTAAAGTAGAGGCAGCACTCGGAGAGCCAGCCGGGGTAGCGGGGCGAAGAGAAGACCAACCTTGCAAATGCAAATTGCTAAGTTGATCTTCTCTTGAGAGCAGCCACGCGCATATCTATAGCAAATTAAAACAAAACAAGCATATTAGTAACAAATACTCGGCATGCAAATTTTGAATCCCATGGCTGAAATGACAAGCCCCCCACTGATTCCTAACCAACTGCCTCAGTCCTAAGCTGTCTGCCTCAGTCCTAAGCTGTCTGCCTCGGTCCTAAGCTGTCTGCCTCGGTCCTAAGCTACCTGCATTCCATTCGTAACTTCCGCTTTCCTCAACATCACACAGACACTCGCAACTGCCCAACCTGCCACCAGCCCGAACTGCCCACCCTTCGAAAACTGAAGGAATTAAAATTTCGGTAAAGTATACTTAATTTATTTGAGTAATTTGGATATTTTAGGCCAAACATAAACAGATAAATTAAAGGTTGACGATTACAAAAGACCGCGTATACAAATAAGGTGAGTTGCTTACTTGCCTCGCTTGTACATGAAATTTACTTTCCAAAATATACGAAAGTGACGAAACGTCTTATCCCGCATGTTTTTGCTCCAAATATTTTGATACGGCAGAATAAATTTAGTTTAAATAATAAAACTGGATAAATTTTCGTGATTTTGAGATATTAAATTTTTTTTAGAAAAGGCACTGGATTGTTTTTTAACTTACTTTTAGAAATTTTAATTCCTTTAGTTTAGCCTAACCCCATGCATCCTATACACACGGCGCACACTCTCGCACTCCATACAATTAGCTAATAAATTACGTTATAAACAAAAAAGTAAAATAAAAAAGATAAATTACGTTATCACTAGCTGTCCTATAACCCACTTAGACTGAGTTTTGGATTCGGATTCGAAACGTAAAACCTTAACTGAAAGGGCATGGGCTTTGAATTTTGTCAATTGTCCGAAGTATAAATATAAACCGTAAACTTACCTAAAACAAAGGCTCGTTTAAATAAGCATGAGAATATTCATATAGTTGTTTTATTAAATGTAAAGTTTTTTAAGTTGAATTTTTTAAATGTAAAACGTAAGTCAAAAGAAGACTTATAATTGTCTTTAGCTATTGAGCTATAGCATTTTGAATCCAGACGGAAATTACTATGTCTATATGTTTTAATTAATGACCATATAGTACAGTTTATCTATATAGTGCATACGCATCGAATACTCCGCAATTCTCATACTCATTTAACCGGAACGCCTTATTCATTTGCATGATACGTCGCAGCTGCTCTCATTACTCTTAATTGTTCCTGCTTACTAAAACAACACCGAAAGTAACAAGATACGTATCGTATTTAATCAAAGAGGATTCATTGTAAAGTCAAGTTCCGCTATGAAATTAACATAAAAACAAAGCATGTGTATTCCCATGGGAATTAAAAATACGGAAAATAATTAGTCTTTTTCACACATTTCATATCAAATTAATAATTAGCTTGGAAACAAAGGATATCATATTCCCATGGGAATTAAAAATACGGAAAATAATTACTAATTAGTGTTTTCAAACATTTATGAAATTAATAATTAGCTTGGAAACAAAGGATATCATATTCCCATGGCCATGGGAGTTGAAAATACGGAAAATAATTAGCGTTTTTCACTTATTACAATTAAAAGTCTAAAAAATTTCGTTAATTTTTTGCGTAAATTTCTATTTTTTGCGTAAATTTCTATTGTTTTTCATCAATTTCTATTGTTTTTCATGTTTGAAATCATTCCTTTAATTGGTATATGCTTGTTTTTGTATGTTAATTTCATTGCGAATACAATAGTTTCACACCAAATGACGATGAAAAAGACCACTTGAAAAAATGTTAATTTTTATATAAAACTTTGTAATCCTATATTTTTTTTCATAAAACTTCAAAAATATAAATTTTAATTTCTTACTAGCTAATGTCGAAAAACGCTTGCGTTACCGCGTATTTGAAAGTTTTATCGGAATATTTTATTTGATTTTTAATATTTTTTTCATAAACACTTCATAAATATAAATTTTAATTTCTTACTGCTAATGTCGAAAAACACTGCGTTATCGCGTATTTGAAAGTTTTATCGGAATATTTTATTTTATTTTAAATAAAAATTTAATTCTTTAGCTTTCAGAAAATTGCCAAACTTACAGGATGCTTCATTTCATTTAGTTTTACCAAAGACACTTAATAATCACGTTGATTTCATATTAATTTTACCATGTAATTCTTTTATTATTTTTTTCAACGAGAAACAATTGTATTCGCTGGAATCCCCTTTGATCTCTGAATAAGTATCTTGCCTTTAATTAACTTACATTCGTAAAATTTGCACTACTTTCATATTAGCAATTTGTGGTTTCGGATTGTTACGAAATATCATTCTGTTCTTGGGTTCATATCATCCACGTGTCATTCATTCTGGTCTTTTCATGTTGACTTCTCTCAGCTTGCATCGTTGAATCGTTACATTCTCGATTCTTTACATCACATCAATCTTTTGAATTAAAAAAAAAACTATCGTTAGAAATTAATTATGATAATAAGGAAGGTTCTGGGATACACGGAACCGGAAGTGCAAGAAAACTTGCAGTAGTTTCTAAAGCACATGCTCTTGAATTGGGACGCTTTAGCGCCTGTAACAATTTTCACAGAGAAATATTACGAAGAAACGAACTACTTGTGTTGACATGTTTTGAATAGCAGTTCTCTGAGACAAAAATTAAATATCATGATGTCATTATATCATTCCATTATATCGTGATGCAATAACATCATGTCATTATGTCTTGTTACCATGTCACTATGTCGTGTTATCGTGTCATTCTACAGAGAAATATCGGACCGAGGTCTTTTTTGTAAAACCAGCCCGTAGGGCGAGGTTTGTACAAAAAGAACGAGGTCCAATATTTCACTGTACATACCGAGAAAGCGAGGTTAATAAAAAGACTATTATATGGCATTTATACTTGAAACAAACAAACAAAAAACGTATATATATATAAACAAGAAAAGCATGATTTGAAATGCATATTAGTAGCGTGGTACACATTTGGTCGAAGAAAATAAAAAATACCAATGTATTCCTTCTTTTCCACTAAAAACCATTCGCAGATATCTTATAATAACAAATTGGATTATAATTTTCAATTAGTTTTGCTGTTTTGTTTTAAAATGCATGAGTTTGGACCGCTGAAAGTGTTCTCACCCCTTCAAAAAATTTTCACCCCCCCCCCCCAATATTCGGCATAATAAAAAATAATTAAATAATCCACTCCAACGTGCAGAGTGTTGATGATACAAAATAAACGTAGGAGTACACTCAAATAGAAAGCAATATTATTGGAACAATTGTAAAGTTTTGAAACTCTATTATCTCCAATAGACACTCCGAAAATAGTTAACATTTTATTCAACGTTTCGATAAATCTAGTTTAGATAGACAACGTTTAGATAAATCTAGACATTGGTCATTATTGTTATATAAGGAGTCCTTACTTATACATCGCCAAAAACCGGAACTTAATCACGGAACTAGAGCCTCTAAGGAACTTGTGATATTTAATTAGCGCGTAATTTGATCCGCTTAACTTGTAAATATATATCATTCTCAGTATTTTTCAATAGCGTCATTCCTGATGATGACAGAAACCTAGTCGAAACGTTGAATAAAATGTTAAGTATTTTCGGAGTGTCTATTGTTTTGTTCTTCTATTATCTCCCCTGAATAGAGTTTGCAGTGCCTTGTCATGCAAATAGATTGCAAGGAACGTTTGGAATTTTTACGAACATTATTTTTAGTTTTTAATTCTTTTAGGAAATAGTCTTGCCTAGATTTAATCTTTACGCCCCAAATATTATTTACATCGGAGTTGCATCATAAATTGTACTCTGATTCAAACGGCACAATGTCAATGACTTTATAAAAGTAAAAGCATATTGCGTATTGGCCTATTGGGTTTACACTTTTACAGGTTCATTTAACTTTAACTCTCTCAAGTCTCAAGAGACAATCGGACAGGCCAAATCCATTGATATGACAACTTCAAAAAACGTTTTTTCGAAGCTAGAAATCATGATTTTTTTCACATTTTTCAGGGATACTTTGTTTTCTGCTCTCTAGACTCCCCCTCGCAGCTCTAGTGCTCCACCCCTAGAATGTAGCCCTTACTGGGATTTGGTGACACTTTGTGTTGCTTCAGTCACCTGCTCACGGCTCACCCCCCTAAAATTTCTGGCACCACCCCAGTAAAAAATATAAAAATCCGTCCATGGCAAGGTTTGGTACAAAAAGACCGAGGGCCGATATTTCTCTGTACATACCGAGCAAGCGAGGTTAATAAAAACTTTATTATATGGCATTTATAGGCATTTATACTTGAAACAAACAAGAAATGCATGATTTGAAATTCATATTAATAGCGTGGTACACATTTGGTCGAAGAAAACAAAAAATACTAATGTATTCCTTTTTTCCCACTAAAACCATTCGTAGATATCGTATTAATAACAAATTAAATTATAATTTTCGAATTTTCAATTTTTATTTATTTATTAAACTTAGCCAACATAAAAGTGCGCACAAACATGACAATAAACACAGTAAACATGTACGTCACTGAATCTAACAACAAAATGGCGGGGACACCACAACAGTATAAACCAATTACTGTGGGCCCTGCATGGTTAACAAATATAACAAACTATAACATAAAAATTTATGAACAGCAAGGGCCGTGCTACACGAGGCAAAATCCGCTGCGAACCGCAGATAAAGTCATAAGGAAGGAAATTGAAAATAATAATAATAAGTGGGCCGCTGAAAATGCTTCTCAGTCAATCACAGTCCGCCATTTCACCGGAAGTGATGCTTGCCATATAATAAATTGCATAAGAGATGATATTTTAAAATGTGAAAAAGACACGCATAATGGCATGTTAACACGACATAATAACATGATAACACGACAACAAGACAAAATGACATGGTAGCATCACATAATGTTATTGCATCACGGTATAATGGAATGATATAATGACATCATCATATTTTTGTCTCTAATGCCCTCCATGTCTGAGAGGCCAACCATATTTCTCTCTCTAGTCGTCTAACCCAGGGCCTAATATGAACAACTCACCTTGTCAATGTTGTAGGAACTGTTGGTTGTAGGTCTTCATCTTGTCTTGTTGCACTCTCTTTAACATCGCATCACATCCTTTTTAAAACAAATAATTATTTCAATTAGATAATTGATAATGATTGAATAAATTATATTAAATAATTGTGTTAAAGTGCCTATGACACGAAATTTCACCCCAAAGGTTGATGGTTGCATTGTAAATATCACTTAAAATGACTTAATAATTTCTTTTATTGAATTTTGGTAACTTGCTCCCTTTTCAAGATATTCAACTTCGTTTCATATGCAAATATCACCGGTGTGACATCACATCACATAATGAGTTTTCAGAAAAGTATAGTTTTCTTGACGAATACGTATCTAAAAAACTTAAAAATTGTCCTTGTATATGTATTAATTTCATAACTGGTAATTAACCATCTGTATTTGTTTGTAAAAATATTTTATCAAGGTAAAATATTGCGTTTTCAAAATGTCATTATGCGATGTGATGTCACACCGGTGATATTTGCATATGAAACAAAGTTGAATATCTTGCAAAGGAAGCAAATTACCAAAATTCTATAAAAGAAATTATTAAGTCATTTTAAGTGATCTTTACAATGCAACCATAAACCTCTGGGGTGAAATTTCGTGTCATAGGCACTTTAACATTAGTTATACACTAAATTCAAGTAGTAATACTGGTAATGCTCTCATTGTAGTATAATCGCAATATTGGCATGTTGTAAAACACGGACTGGACCCGGAAAACGCGCGGAATCCGCGATTTGTAAAACACGGACTTAGCCCGCGATTTGTAAAACACGAAAAACGACTGAGTCCGCGATTTGTAAAACACGGACTTTGTCCGCGATTTGTAAAACACGAAAAACGACTGAGTCCGCGATTTGTAAAACACGGACTTTGTCCGCGATTTGTAAAACACGGAAAACGACTGAGTCCGCGTTTTACAAATCACAACAAGGACTAATGGGGAAATGATTAGAATTTCATATTTCTCGCAAATTTATAATAACCATTTTCATACTCCACGAACGCAAAATAAACATGCAAATTAAGTCTATCTGAACTTCTTGGGATCGTTAATCAAAACCGCAACCGTACCATTGTAAAACTGAATGTAATCAAGAAAATGGCTTCGTCTAATTATGATTAACACTAAATGGTATCTGCTATAAGAGCTATATCTATACAGGCTACAGCTATTTAAATAATACTTGAAACGGCCACATTTGATGTACGCACGAGTTTCCTCGACAATAGTGGCACAAAGTTCCACATGGCTGAGCGTGTTCCTATAGGATTGAACGCTGTTCATCTGTTTATTCAAAACAATAAATAAATAAACAAAAGTAATTTATACCAATTTAAGCAGGGGCGAGTTGTTCAAAAGCCGGTTATCTTAACCCTAGGTTAACTTAAAATTCAAAGTACACTTCCTAACAGCATGTTTTTAAATTTGGAAATATTTCTTCACAAATCATGTCTGGATCAATAGAAGTTTTCTTTTTTTGCATTTTGAAATAAATGGACGTGCAGAAGTATATGCAAACTAAAACGCAGGTTAAATTTTAACCCTGGGTTAACGCTAACCCACCTTTGAACAATCGGCCCCAGGATATGATTATGAAACGAATACAGCCCTTTGTTCCTAATAATACTTTGCAAATTATTTATAATGCCTTGATACAGCCATATTTTGATTATTGCTCTCCTTTATGGGGAAATTGTTGTGCTTTTTTAAAAGATAAACTTCAAAAATTTCAAAACCGCGCGGAAAGCATAATTGCTGGCGCAAGTTATGAATTTAATTCGGCTGACGTTCTTGAATCTCTTGCATGGTTGGGAAACTTTTATAGAGGAAAGACGAAAACGGAATAAATCGATATTAATAATGTGTATAGAATTTTGAATAATTATACTGCACAGAATTTGAAAAATTTGTTCTCTATGAATAGTGCATTACAAGGATCTTACAATCTTAGAAATAGATTTACTGATTTAGCTTTACCAATTCCGAGAAGGGAATTCCTTAAAAAAATTTTCAAATATAGTGGCGCAAAACTTTGCCTTTGGAATAGCCTTTTTTGGAAGCAAAATTAGCCCAATCAGAATATATTTTTAAATTGAATATTATTTTGAAGGGTCACTTTACAAAGTATTGTTCGTGTTTGTCGCTTGCAACTTTGTACTTTTTAAAATCCTTTTTGTCATTTTTGTAAATATGTTATTTTGTATATATCGACGCCCCTCATGGAAACCAACTGAATGTTGATGAAGCTAGCGTCGATCAGATTTTATATAAAGGTTACATGCATATACACAGAATTATGCCACAATTCCTGCCAAAATTCTCAGCACGCCTGAGTCAGTACAAAGCCAGCACTGACTGAGTCCGTGTATTACAAAAACATTGCCACGATTTGTAAAAAGCAGACTGAGTCCGTGTTTTACAAATCGCGGGTTGAGTCCGCGTGTTCCCGTGTTTTACAACATGCCGTAAAATACGTATAATTACGTTATTTCCACAAATTGTATCAACAAAACTTACATTTACTATACATCTTTGCATTGATGTTGCTTTTTTGGTCACGGTTCGTCATTTTGTTGATGGTTCCGTCGTGGTTGGCGCTCTCTTCATAGCACATCGCAACACGTCCATCCAGTGGGTCACAAGTGCATTCAATGTCACGTAAACCATCATAAAATGAGAAAATGTCATTAATTCACGTTACAAAACACTCACAAAATAAAATTAACTGTTATTTTAACTGCATTATTGCAATTAGAATGTTAAGGAGCAATGTGAACTCATAAAACTGGTAAATGGAATCTCGTTGATTGTGATTAACATCGACAAACCTTACATTTGCGATTTTCGTTGCATCTTCGCAGCTTAAATTCGTAATTGATTTGAAATCGTGGGTCCATGTCGTCTCTATCACTCCAGGGTCTGCTATCCAGTTTTCTTCACTTCCTTTGAGAAAAAGCAACGAAAATTTTAGAACAATCTTTACAATAGAAATTAATAAAAATTTTGAAAACGTGGTATTGAACTGTAGATGACTGTACTAGTCGAAACATAGAGCATAATTTTATGTTCCATGTTAAAAAAATAAGGCTAATTAAAATCATTTTTGTAATATTTAACAATAGTATTTTCTGAAATTTGTTTTTCTCACCATTTCCAATGCTCTTCAATTAGACACTATCCAGGTCCTTTATTTAGGGCGCGACTTCATCACAGCTGTTGTATGGATCTATAGTGTATGGAAAATTTTAGATACAATAATAGAACTAGATCTGTTGCTCTCTCCATTGGTCAGAAAAATCTAAAAGATCTAAATTGTAATCTGAGGGTAATACATGCTAAAAAGAATGGTCAATCAAAAATCTGCACTATCCAATGCAAGTATTTCTATATTAAATTAAAACAAGAGAGATAAAAATTAATATACCCGAGAGAATTCAAGCCTCATCTTTTCAGTCGCTGGTTTCATCTTGTATGGTTCTTCTACAGTCTCGCTGGAGAAAATATAATATATAAGAGAAATGAGAAAAAAAAATAGAATGAATAGCTGGTACGGGGGGCCTGGGAGGTTGTTTGTCAGGTTTTTGGAAAGGGGGTATTTCCTATTTTGCGGTTAATTCATTTTTGCGGTTAATTCAATTATAAGATGACATCCCCACACCAGTATGGTTTTGGCTTAACAATAATTAAATTGTAGTATTTTGGGGGTATGATTTCAGGTATAAATTTTTGCTGAAAAAATTAATTTTCGTAAATAAAATATTATACTTTCCCATACTTGAAAAAATTATAGGAGAACTTACGTCTGTAATAAATATCCTAATAAGCTGATGTCCAACCCAATTAAAATGATTTTCGGTGCATTTTTCAGATTGGAGAAGAAGGCGACGCCATCTTGGTTTGGAATTCCTTCGACCTGGCCAAATTTGTCTTCGCAATTTTACCGCCATTTATTCGTCATTTTCTTCAAAATGTTTCCCAAACGTCTCTCTCACACGTTCCTCGACATTAATATGGTATTCGATTGGTATTTATACTCGTTCCTTGGCAGAAAATCAATGCTTGTGGTTCATTATTTTTTGGTCGAGAAGCGCAGAAACCCGAAGGTCCTTCTTCTTCGAAGTGCAGGGGCAAATGACGTCAGAATACGATTGTTTACTGGTAAATACCCGTATGTATAATGTCTAATATTTTAAATACGAAGCTTTAAAGTTTAATTTCTAGCTTAAATGAATGGTTTTTAGCCCTAACATTGAGCTCAGATATTCGTTATATTTTTTTCTTGATGATTTAATTTTTACTTCGCTCAAAAAACGCTCCTGAAGAGCGTTTGTGCATGTTTTTTTTTTATTTGCATGCTAACGAGTGCGGAAAGACAAGTCCGATTTGTCGGTTAAGTTTAACTTTTCCTCCGTGGCCGAATGGTAACGGCAACTGTATTGGGAAAAGCCACGCCCTTTGGTGTTTGCTGTGGATCGTCCCTCGCTTGCGACAACACAGGGACGAACCTAAAGGGTGTGAGTGACTCTCGAAAACAGTTGCCGGTACCGATAGGCTACTGAAGGAACGTTTAAACCTGCAGTAAATTTCTTCTACTTAATCATTTACCTTATGCTTGCCAGCCGGGGACCTGCATTTCGGGGGCCACCCAAAACAACAAGCTGCCGTGCAAGAAGGGCAATACAATTGCAGTGTAACAGTACAACTGTACTGTCCTTCGTGCACGACA